CGTAAGATTTGTTAAATAAAAGGGAACTCTTTAGCTACAATGTATCAATGTTATGTTATAAAACAAATGGTAAACACCACAGCGTACACTATTGAGTTATGGATGCACTTGGGAGGTTTGCTAAGCACTCAAGAAGCTAGAGTCGCTCTCGGCTATCGCCTCGAGCGACTCTTACGCTTCTTTCGTGCTTAGCAACCTCCCGCGTGCATCCATAACTCAATAGTGTACGCTGTGGTGTTTACCATTTGTTAATTAGATGCTGACAACTGCCAGAATATTACAAACGACATCTGCAAACTGGAACCGAAGAGAAAGACCATTATCGAAATCGACCAACCACGACCGACTAATGGTAGTTGAGCCTTACAGCCAATAACATCATGGCAACACTGACAAACCAGTTTTCACGAAACGGACCTAAAAAAACTCAACTTACAACATCTCTTTACTAGACTCTGATAATGACTTCCATTTAGGTTTTCAAAGGGTCAGTCACCAGTACCGGCCCAGACGATCAGGATACATGATCAAATTTTACTCCAGGGTTCAAAACATTTATTGCATCATTATTTTTTTCCGTTTATTTTAGAGAGTTGAACGACAACAATCTCGACGAATTAGCTGATAACCTGTTTCGAGGCATGAGGAATTTAACAAGGCTGTGAGTGAGATCCTTTAGATCCATACAACCTACTGATTAAAGGAGTATTCTGGCATGAGATTTAAACCTGTAACAGCAAATCCTGAGCCGGGTTGTTCAGAAAACGGTTAACCTAACCCGAGATTAGTGCAATTTTTTTATTTAGTTTTTATAGTTCTGCAAAGGGATTTATCTTGTTTATATTTTTTTTTACTCGTTAGTTTCGAGTCAGATTGGGAAAAGACCCAACAAAACCTTAGGTCTTATACACGCTCTTTTACAGAAAATTTAAAGACAAGGTTAATTTTAATCCTGCATAAACGTTGACCCCCTTTCGAACACCCCGGCCCCGAAGACAAACGTTAACGATTTTCGGACAGATTAATCAGGCGATTGCAGTTTATAACAAGCCAGCTTGCAAACGCTGGTATTTGATCAAACTTTTAAACTTCTCAGTGATCATTCCAAATGATGCTCAAGATTGCAATCCAGCTCGTTCACTCATCTGTCAGTTTGTCTTTCTGCGTCTTTCTTGCCTATCTAGTTTGTTTTACTGTCTTTATTAGACTATTTCTGTTTTTCTTATAACCAATTAATTTTTTGGAGTCTTTTTGATGTAATCCTTTGTCTGTTGGTCCATTCATGCCTATTATCTACTTTGTTCTTCTTACTCCTATATTGCCTTTCTGTCTATCTCTCCGTCCCTTTTTTCACGACCTGTCTGGATATTCATTGATTCTCTTGCCTCTCTTATAGGTGGTTGCGCGACAACAAAGTGAAGTTGCTGACCCCAGATCTGTTCTCAGATTTAATCAGTTTGAATGACCTGTAAGTGAATGCGCCGAAGATTAATTCCTTAGAAGCCGTTTGATCTATATTTTGTTACCGCCTGAAAAGTTACAATTAGCTAAACTTAGAATAAATAAGCCCGCGTGTAGCTGAACCCCCCTCCCTCTACCCTGAGGATAAACGGAAGGGAGGGAAACTTACTCTAGTCGTCGATCGCTATTGCCCGTAAAGTCAGCCATAAAAGCCACCTGTTTACTATCTTCGATCGTGTGAAGGAAAGTATCGGACGAAACGATTAACCAATAAAAATTCATTATATATTTTCTTGCAAAAAAACGTGACGTCACGGGAAACGATTTGCATCAGGTTTTCGTAGACTTTCTCTCCCTTCTGTTTTTCCACGGGTGAGAGGGGAGGGTACGGCTACAAGTGGGCTAAGAATGACTGTAAAGGGAACTTCAATCGCGGCTGACGCGAGGTGGTGGACTTCAAAATGAAACTGTTATTCTTAAATAACACCATTAACAAATATGTACTGTGGAAATATAATAATAATAATAATAATAATAATAATAATAATAATAATATTTTAACAGGGAGCCCACTTCCCCAAAGGGTGCTCTTCAGTGAGGCCCTGCAAATGCTACAAAAGAATTACAATAAAAATTAAAAAGCTAAGCTAGAACTAGATAAAAATAGAAACATACTTCCAATCGATAACGCATGTTTAACTAAAATGCATGTTTAAGCTTAAATTTAAAGTAAGAAAGTACAGCAGTGTCACGTACATCTTGACTTAAAGAGTTCCAGTCTACAACGTTCTGATACGTAAAACGTTGTTTGCCCTAGTTTGTTCTTACGCGAGGTAAATGAAAATCGTCTTTGGAACGCGTGTTGTAATTATGAATTAAGTTATTTCTAACAAAATTAAAATCAAAGTCAATAAGACAATTCAAACACTTGAAGATCGTTGTACAACGATGGAAACGTCGCCTGAGATGCAGTGGCTTCCAACCAAGAGAATCAAGATCTTCGGACGCCGAGTCCTGCGGATGGCGATCAAGAATTATCTCAGAAGCTTTATTTTGAAGAATCTGAACATTTTCCATGAGAGTGGAGTTGTTCTTATCGCCCCAAACAATGTCACCATAATCAAACAAGGGAAGAATGAGACTATTGTAGAGAGTTAGACGGGATTGGAGTGGTAGCATCTGCTTTACTCTTCTCAGAACACCAAGGCGTTGGTTGACTTTGTTGACAACCGAAGAAACGTGATCTTGCCAAGTCATACTTTGACCGATTGTAACTCCTAAATACTTAAAAGAGTCAGTTCTTTCTAAGTTATAGTCGTTAATGCAAAGAGAAAAATTCTGAAAATATTTTAAGTTTATAGGTACTACCAAACAAGACAAATTTGCATTTGCTTTCGATCATAGCATTGCTACTCAACCTGAGAAAAAGGCTAATTTGTTAAATTTTATTTCCTAAGAATTTGGAAGAAATAATGTACAATAAGCATCAAAGGAAATCAATCTATACTCAGATGTTAACATACACTAACAATACACATGAAAAAATACGCTCGTGACACGTGTGCAAAATTGTAACGCGAGTGCATTTTGTGTGATGCTTTTTTTCATGTAAATTATTAACCAGTGAAAACATGATTTCTCGTGTAATTTGGTGTAATTAAGCACCTTTAAATATTTCTTACACCTCAAATTGCACTCGCCCTACGGGTTTGTACAATTTTGTTGTCTTTGAGAAGTTTACTCGTTCTTATTAACGTCAAATTGCAATCGAAATCATATATAGTTGGATCAATCGGTTAAATGCAGTGAGAGGGAGGGAGCCTAAGCCCCTGAGCTCCCCCTCCCCCTCCCCACCTCTCTCCAGACCCAGTTACAATGTTAAACAGTCTGGTTTGAATATCACCAACAACGAATTAATCAACTGCAACCTTGGAAGCTGTTTCATTCTTAGCCATGACGAGCTCAGGTTTCTTCTCGCCTGCGAACCTATCAATTTCTAGGAGGATCGAGGTCAGAACAATGACCTTTGTATAGAGAGTAATGCAAAGCGTTCCAATCTATTTATTTAAGAAAAAGCTTGGAATTATCTGCTTTATGACACAAGAGCTAATGACTGCTCTCACAGTTATGACACCCAAACCGTTTATCAGTCTCAAACAGCGGCTGTGAAGAATAATAATAATGAATGAGGCGTAGACGTCCGTTTGATTTTAATACAATTAATAAATATAGAATGTAAACAGATAATAAATACCTCATTGATATAGAACCTCAAGTTGGAGGTGGTAGAAAGTGATGCAAAAATTTCTTTTCTAGTTTGGCCCCGAAAGTGTTAAGTTTATCCATTAGATAAAAAATACTTGATGTCTCTAATTCCTCGGCTAAGTAGGATTTGTTCCTGTTGCAATTGATAAAATATACAACTGATTTCAGGGATTTGTCAAATAACGAAATAAAAAATCTGCCGCAAGGACCTTTTGAAGGTCTAACGAAGCTTACAAAGCTGTAAGTGATTAATTACATCTTTGCATTTCTTAATTTTGGAGAATGATTAAAACATAATTTTTTTTTCAAATATAAGATACAGTAGAACAAAAAACTTGAATAATGATTTTGACTTCACTCACCTTTCCAACCAGTTTTCTCTTAATAAGCTACAGGGCTAGTGCTGCCATTGCGGGGTCTCCAAGATTGGAAAAAAAGACAATTAAAGCAGATGTTCAAAATATTAAAATGTAAATAAAGTACATGCAAAAAGAACAAAGATTTGCTGATGTTCTTAAATAATACTTAAGTTGTGAGAAATGTATATAAAGACCCTCGAGGACTTCAAGATTTAGAATTAAAAAAAAAACAACCAAAAATAAGTTAATGGAGAAAACTGCTGAAAAGAATAAAACAAAGTCGAAAGAGCTTTTAATGCACAGGATGTTGATACGAACATTCTAAATTAACCTTTTAGTTTAGTTATTTCTTTCAGAGGCGGCGGAGTGTTTTGAAACGTGGGGGACTTATCTTTCACCCAGCCACGCTCGTGCTCCAAATGCCCTTTGTGTTGTTCGCAATCTTTACAGTTTCGAATGTGTCCGTGAACGATTTGTGACGTACTTTCATTTTCAGGCACAGTCTGAAATCTTTCATCTAGGTATACAAAGGAAATCATGTCTAAAAAATTACATACACACGCTGTTTAGGTTATAAGCTTCTCGAACACAGGCGGAGCTGTTCAAAAAAAGTTTCGTTTCATTTTATTTCACCAAGCGCGATGCTGATAGAAGGATTTTTGAAAAGATCCCTAGGTTGAAGATTATTCATGTTGCGCTAGCGATATTTTCGACACCAAAACTTGCCCCTTCCCTCCACTTCTCCGCTGCCTTTGCTTTGTTTATTTATTTGATTAGCTACTTTCACTTACTGAGTTCAAGTACAGTCTGTCTAACCTTTCTAATATAAATACCGTCGGTGACTACCTCTTTGTTAAGGAGGTATTTGTTTTCAATTAAGCAAATATTTACAGCAAATTTAGATAAACACACTTTTTTTGGAAGAAGCAAGGGACTGCAGTAGCACTAGTGTGATTAATAAGAAAATGGTTAACCCCAGTTCCCCCTGAAAGCATTTGATAGCGAAACAAGACTTACGGTCAATTTGATAATTTCTTTTCCACCATCTTTGTTTTCTCAAGGGATTTATCAGGTAATCAACTCGAGGAACTACCCGAAAATATTTTCGTCAACCTCACCAAGTTGTTGAATGTGTAAGTCATCAACCGCTACATCAAATGTGTCTTGTAAAGTGTTTTTTCGCTGAGCTTCATGCATCACTTGACGATATAACGCCCCAGAATATAGTTTTGAAGGGTTTTTACTTTGTTCTTTACAGTAATCCAAAGCTTTCTTTGTTAATTTTTTATTGAGTCATTTTATACCGCAGGAAACTGGACAAAAACAAGCTCAAGAGCCTCCCCAGGAATTTGCTCACTACTCTGGACAACTTAACGGGGCTGTAAGTTGTGCAATTGGGTTAAAATATATCACTCATTTTATGAATAACATACTGTAATCTGGGCAAGCATTGATGTTGTCATCCAGTTTAACTTAATCTTATAGTTCGTGAGGCGTGAGTAGTCCAGTGGTCAGTGCGCTGGACTCTGGATCAGATGGCCCAGGTTCAAGTCCTGGCTTGTCGTTGTGTCCTTAAGCATAACGTTTCACTCACATTGCTTCGTCTTCTCGGATAGGAAGTAAAGCCGGAGGTCCCGTCTCCTACATCTATCAATTAGTTAATTTCGGCAGGGGACGTTAAAGAACCCACATCACGAGATTACTGTGATGTGGCCTGGTCTGGAAAAGTCCCCCGCACAGTGTTGTAAAACGCATTACAGCATTCCATGGAAATGCGCTATAGAAATCGATATATATATTTTTATTATAGGAATACATATATCGAGAGCGTGGCAAAACTACATTACTTTTTTTTGCACAGAAAAATAGCGATAATTTAGGTTAGCTTTGAAAACAGCCTGAGGGATAAGGCAGACGAAAAACTAATCGAGATGACGGGGATCCGTTTTACTACTATCAGCTGACTCTAAATCCACGATATCTTGTTTGCCTCGACAGCTTGGTATATAAGGATCTTTTTAAATAATTGGTGTGATCCGCGGATTTCACGACAGTTTTTGTTCTGTTACTATCATTCTGTAGCTACCTTTCAGTTTCCCTGTTAATACATGTGTTTACATCTCCTACCCGGAGTGCAAAGTCATGCCTCTAACAAATAAACATTTCTTTGTTTGCTTAGCAGTCCAATAAACAAATTTTGGGAAATTTCTAACACATCACTTACCTTTAAGGTATCTCGCCGAAAATAATCTCGAGTCTTTGCCTAAAGGGATTTTCAGTAACGTGAGAAAGCTTCAGGTTCTGTAAGTACGGAATTTGCAACAATCACCTGTGGATTTTTTGTTTTTTTGTTTTAATATCAAGAGGCAATCCATATCAAACCATGCCACACTATGCCATATCATACTATGACACTAGACCACACCAAATGTTCGTTATTAAGGACCACATTACCTATTTCAGTTCGCGTCCACACTTTTCCCCATCAAATCACAGCATACCATACCATTCTCCACCACGGCCGAAACTTACAACAATGCTCAAAACCTTCCATTTCTGAATCCCCAAACAAAAAACAAACCTATCATCTTATAAATAAACTACACCAAAGCTCACTACAGTATAGTATATACCGTACCCTAACATACCGTACCGCATCACACCTCAACTTCCCCATTATACGCCCCAAACCACACTCTACTGTTTCACATCATAACAAATGATCCACAACACACCATGCCACCCAAGACTTCACGTGAACAATTGCCCTAGCCCCATGCTATGGTGAATACAACAGTTATGATTATTTTGTTACTTCCTAACACAGATCTATCTTTTTATTTATATTCTCCTCAGTACTCTTTCCAATAATAGGATTCCCGCTGTCACCAACGAAAACTTTAATGACCTTCCAAATTTGGTGATTTTGTGAGTATATAGCCACTGATGAAATTTATCATTAGACCACTACATTATGTCTTAAAAATAAAGCCTACTGGATCCTACTGGACTGACTGAAAATAACATTTGGTTTGCGTCAGTGAAACCCTGTAGAAAAATATATTTTTTCATCGCGAACCAGAAAATAGGCACATGGTGTTCCACCTGTATTTTTTTTTTTTCAGCAAAAACACAAAGAAACCGCAATAAACTTAATTTCCAAATTCAATTTTTTAAGCGACAATTCCCTTTATTTGAAAGCGTTATTGAAAAAGGCAGAGTTATTATGAATTACCCCAGCAAATGCGTATGTTTGTTGCTTTTCCTTTTCTTTATTTCTCTTATTGCTCCTTTATTAGTCTGTTTTTAGTTGTTGTTGTTGTTGTTGTTGTTGTTGTTGGTTCACCAACCTGAAGAAAATGTTGAAAAGGCTCTTTTCACCCCCTAATTCCCATTAGTGACTAAGACAGAATTTCTCCCAACAATATCAATATAATATCAAACAGAAAAGTGAAGCGAATAGGAAATAAATCAATTAGGGATAATCGGTTGATTCAATACCAAATTCTCCAAAATAACATCATAAGATCTGAATGGCAGGCAGAATTATTAATACAATCTTGGGAGTCAAAAAGTAAACGACTGAGCCGATTGAATTTCAGGGAATATTATCCTGGCTTAACGTTTGTGAATATATGAAAATCATATTTGTGAACTACGGCTAAAAGAAATTAGTGCGAGAGCGATGTTCGCAGTTATGAACACTACTTAAGCGGTAATGAAAATAGGGCCTGATAAAAATTCAGGCCTGTACGGGATTCGATCCTATGACCTCTGCGATACCGGTGCAGTGCTCTACCGACTGAGCTAACAAGCTAGCTGGTATGACATCGTACATTCACAAAAGTTGACTCATCACTTCACGCGTTTATTGCAAACCAACGCCTAGTTGGCTTGTTAGCTCAGTTGGTAGAACACTGCACCGGTATCGCAGAGGTCACGGGTTCCAATCCCGCACAGGTCTGAATTTTTTTCCAGCCTTATTTTCACTACTGCTTAAGTAGTGTTCAAAACTACGAAGATCGCTTTCATACTAACATGGCTGGTTTGTTTGGAAGAAAAGATTTTTCCAAGCAACATGGAGGTACGGTAATTGGACTTTCAACTAAGGTGATAATATGAATTAACTACCGTAAAGGTGGTTAATTCATATTATGAAGAACGTGGGGCGCGTTTTGACTGCATGGCACAGTTTTCATTTTTTATCCATAGTATTCATAGTAGCCTTCTTATTTTTAGGTATATGCATAAAAACGAAATGTCTGAGCTTCCTAACGGGTTTTTCGATGGAATGAAGGACATCATGAAAGTGTAAGAAGTTTTTTTTCGGTGCTCAGTGAAATGTTCAATATCATATTGATGTTTCAATTTTCCTCCAATACTGACTACTGACTCGATAAAAAAACTTTGAAAAACTTTAAAAATGGGCTTCATGATACACGATATGACCACAAGATTACTGTATTGCGCTTTTCATTCAGAAATCAGCAATTCAGGCGGGGTCGCTATCTGGCAATTAGTGCACGTTTTGATTTCGCAATTAAAACCTGTGCGTTTTGCAAAATATTCAGCCGGTTTAAAGTCGATTTAGCTTCCTGACAATGTTTAGTTAGAAAGAGGTGGTGTTGAACTTCTAATCTTTTACGTGTATGTGGTTTAGTTCTCCTTTTTGGGACCCCTTACATTTACAGCCCACCTCACTTAGTCTCAAAATTAGCGGAAAGTTTGAAAATTTTTTGATTATGAACTACCAGTGTGAGTGAGAACATGTCTTTTGCGTTTTTTCACCTGCTGAATTTTCCTTCTACTCTGTGGATTACAGGATAGTGGACACCAATCTTATGTGCTGTCATCTGACGAAAGAAGACGCCCAATGGACCGCTTTATACGACGACAGCTTCGCCAGTTGCGAGAGCATGTTCCGAAACTCAGCCCCACGTAAAAGTATCTGGGCAATCGGAATCCTTTCTTTGCTTGGTGCAGTGTTCGTGATTGTGTGGCGCCTGATCTTTAAAGAGAGAAACGTAGTCCAGCTTATCATGTTAATGCACTTAGCGGTTGGGGATGGCTTGATGGGCGTTTATCTGGTCACCTTGGGTGCCAAAGACCTGTTATGGTCGGGAAGTTACTATCTGCATGACTTCCAGTGGCGATCCGGTTTATCGTGTCAGGTCACAGGCGCAATCTCAGTGCTGTCCAGTGAGGTGTCTGTAATGTTATTGGCACTCATCTCTGCCGACAGGCTGAAGAATATCGTTTTCCCCTACCGTGGAAGAGGGCTGACTCTCAGGAAGGCACACATTCTGTGCGCAATCATTTGGGTCCTTGGTTTTGTTATCGCATTCCTTCCCCTCAGTGGTATTGGCTACTTTTATGACACCCTAAAGCGCCCTGCCTACTACGGAAGATCCGTGGTGTGCCTCCCTATGCAACTGTCTAAAAGTTTTCCAGCTGGTTGGGAGTTCTCCATTGCTATCTTTGTTGTGTTCAACTTCCTTCTCTTCCTGTTCATGATGGTAGCTTATGTGGCAATCTTCCTTAAAAGTTATAACTCCAGCCGTCAGCTCGCAAGGAAGGGAACCATACGGGAGGTGCAGGCAAAGAAAAAGAACTTAAGTGCTAGAAGGGAGAGAGCATTGGCCAAGAGAGTCTTCTTCATCATCCTCACAGATTGTGCTTGTTGGATGCCGATAATCGTCATCGGCATCAAATCTTTGGTTGATAAAGATTACAGTCCCCAAGGGGATCTTGCTGCCTGGATCGCTGTCTTTGTACTGCCAATTAACTCAGCCTTGAATCCGATCATCTACACCTTATCAACCCGTCAGGTATGACAGGGACAGACATTAGTTTAATGCAATCGACGTATTCCTTCACCGCGTTAATGCATTAATTACGTTTCCTTGCAGAATACTTAAAAGTGGATAGTAAAAGATAACATTGTTGGCTTTCTACTGAAAACCATATTGTGGAATTCAAAAAGTCCAATGAATGGATTTTTTATAAATAAAAAAAATAATAGCTAGCTTATCAAATGTTTTGATTGTAAAGTGCACACGGCTGTCACATGGAGTTTCAAAGGGAATCGTTTTCACACAAAAACTACACGCCCCTTGAAAAATATCATTATAAACATTTGAGCACGAAATTTCTGAAAGCCACTTGGACAATTTCTGAATGCCCTTAAGAACGCATTTGGAAAATATCAGAACTGGATAAATAGCTATACAATTTAACTGGCTGATTCTAGAAATCGGCCTTCCAAGTATCTAAGCCGTATGATAAGCTTCATTGCTGTTTATGAAACACTACATTATATTTTCCCTTAATTTACGCAGTTTTAGTAAAATACTCGCTTTTCAATTCCCAAACAGGTACAGGGCATATTACGACCTAAACTGCTCTTTTTTACAAACCGTGTGCGCAGCTTTTTCTCTTGTTGTAAAAAGCAACCAAGTCACCAAGGTGAGCTTTAACATTTTCCTTGATCACCCTTAACGTTATTACATAAATATAAAAGCTGGCCAAGGGTAAGGATCTGTGAAAATTTTTGACCTGATGGTTTTTTCCTTGGATTTTTGATCAATTTGTTGAGTTATAATTGTGTTGTGCTTCTCTCAAACCAGCAGTATACATACAGGTACCAGAGGAGTGTGAGTGACATCTGATAAGAAGCTAGGGTGGGGTGGGGGTAGCCTATGATTGAGAGGCATTCCAACTGGAAGGAGTAGAATCCTAATCACTTCTTGCCGTAAAAACTGAGAAAAGGTCTAGCAGCTGTGCGAGTCAGTTTTGATGTTGACTTCAACTTTAAAAAAGAGAAATTGAATTTCAAAACCAGAGCGAATAAGTCCATTTTGAGGAGTAGTAACAAAATGATGTCATAAAAGGCATCTTCAGTGGAGGGGTTTTTAATTCAGTAGTGTCCTGCTGACATTTTNTTCAGGTCTGATTTTCGCTATTGCTTAAATAGCGCTATCTACTGCGAGGATCGTTCACCATATGTACCTAATACCGCAGTTCAAAATATATGAACTTCATATATTTCATTGTATCTGAAAAAGGCAGAGTTATTATGATTTACCCCAGTGAATGCGTTTGTTTGTTTGTTGCTTTTCCTTTTCTTTTTTTGTCTTATTTGCTCCTTTATGAATCTGTTTTTAGTTGTTGTTGTTGTTGTCGTTGTTTCGCCGACAAGAAAAATCTTGAAGACTCTTTTCACCCTCTAGTTCCCATAAGTGACCGAGACAGAATTTCTCCTAACAATATCTGATTCAATAAAATATCAAATAGAAAAGTGAAGAGAATAAAAAATAAATCAATAAGCTAAGGGGATTATCGGTTGATCCACTACAAAAATTCTCCAAAATAATATCACAAGATCTGAATGGCAGGCAGAATTATTAATTCGTTCTTGGGAGTCAAAGAGTAAACGACTGAGCCGATTGAATTTCAGGGAATATTATCCTCCTAGCAGTTGATAAGTCATTGGTACAAAAATATAATAAAAAAAATCAAGACATAGCTGGTTTAACGTTTGTGAATATATGAAAATCATATATGTGAACTGTGGTTAAAGAAATTAGCATGAGAGCGCACTTCGCTAACAAGCCAACTGGTATGATTTTCATACATTCATAAACGTTGATCATGACTCATCACTTCAAGGGATAATGACCAGCTCCCAGTTGGCTTGTTAGCTCAGTTGGTAGAGCACTGCACCGGTATCGCAGAGGTCATGGGTTCGAATCCCGCACAGGCCTGAATTTTTTCAGGCCTTTTTTTCACTAGTGTAAGGTTCATAATTGCGAAGATCGCTCTCATGCTAACATAGCTGGTTTGTTAGGGAGAAAAGACTCCAGATTTTTGCAGGCAACATCGAGGCACGGTAATTGGAGCTTTATCAACTAAGTTGATAATGCAAATTGACCAACCGTAAAGAGTTTTAGAAGCTGACGTTTCGACTGTTAACCTTTCGTCAGAGCAAATGGAGAACATGAGGCGCGTTTTGACTGCATGGCACAGTTTTCATTTTTTATCCAGAGCTATTTATTAATAGTAGTCTTCTTTTTTTTAGGTACATGCAAAAAAACCAAATGTCTGAGCTTCCTAACGGGTTTTTCGATGGAATGAAGAAAATCACGAAAGTGTAAGTTTTTTTCGGTGCTCAGTAAACTGTTCAATATCATATTGATATTTCAATTTTCCTCCAATACTGACTGTTGACTCGATAAAAACTTTTAATAAAACTTTAAAAATGGGCTAAAATTTACTAGAGTTTTTTGTTCATGATACACGATATGACCACAAGATTACTGTATTGCGCTTGTCATTCAGAATCACGAGTTCAGGCGGGCTCGCTATCTGGCAATCAGTAAGTTTAGTAGGAAATTGCTGGATTTCGTAATCAAAACCTGTGCATTTTGCAAAATATTCAGCCGATTTAAGGTCGATTTAGCCTTCTGACAATTTTTAGGTATAAAGAGGTTGTGTTGTACTTATAATCTCTTGCATGTATGTGGTTTAGTTTTCCTTTTTTGGGACCCCTTATAATTACAGCCCACTTCACTTAGCTTCAAAAATAGCGACAATTTTGAAAATTTTTTGATTATGAACTACCAGTGTGAGTGACAACACATCTTTTGCGTTTTTTTCCCTGCTTAATTTTCGTTTTACGCTGTGGATTACAGGATAGTGGACACCAATCTTATGTGCTGTCATCTGACGAAAGAAGACGCCCAATGCACCGCTTTATACGACGACAGCTTCGCCAGTTGCGAGAGCATGTTCCGCAACTCAGCCCCACGTAAAAGTATCTGGGCAATCGGAATCCTTTCTCTGCTTGGTGCCGTGTTCGTGATTGTGTGGCGCCTGATCTTTAAAGAGAGAAACGTAGTCCAGCTTATCATGTTAATGCACTTAGCGGTTGGTCTAC